TTTGAAACAGGCGCAAAAATCGGCCCTTTTCAAGTCCACCAAATTTTATAACGATGGAACGATACTCAAACGCATAAAATATTAAATAACTATATTTCGCATGTTTATGCAACACTAAAATTAAAAATACTCTACTTCGACAACCTATACAAGCGTTGTATTGTTGCAGTATTTTATATTGATGCAATATTCTATATTGAAATAAATCTAATATATTTTTTTTAAGAACACCTATTAAGAAACACTTGTCAAAGCCTCCTGAAAACTCATCCCAAAGATCTCCTCTTATATTGCAGTAATTTTCTTGCTAACAAGAAATAATGCATGGACGTTTGAACGAGCAAAATAGTCGTCGGAACACCGCATATTTATTCACGTATAGACGAGACAGTGTGAGTCGAACGTTTTCTTATTGTGCGTAACATGTATTTTAGGACAGCATTTCTGGCCACTACGTCTCATAATGCTATCTCTCTCACTTTTACGTCTGCGATAGAGAATGGAAGATCGCCGCGACTCCCACCACTATTCTCTCTCCAAGCCATCCGACGGTCGTTTACCGTAGAAGGAGGAGGGCATACTAGGTGGCGGCGGGACGCCGTGCGTTCGAGATCTATCTTTTCGTTCCAAAGAGAAAAATATAGAGAGCGCGGTTCTGCTAGACCGGGACTCGAACCCGGGTCTTTCGCTTGCCGGGCGACTGCTCTAAACCATTGAGCTACCTGACGCTCCACGCTCACGACACTCTCCTCTCCCTAGATAACGCTCAGAGATGCCGTTCGGAAGCGACATCTCTGGCGCGATCCCGAGCGTACGGCGACTACAGAGAGAAACAATGTTACTGTACCAAATGGTACAGCTGTCAGTCTCTCAAAGTCAAATGTTGCTATCCTTTAAGATCTGCTGTCCGCTAGGGGTGTATATCAGTTGGACACGGGGCAATTGGACACAGTCCAATCACAAGTCGCTGTTCCAAGGGACCCTACAAATGTCTCTAATCACACGGTGCTGTGATTGGCTGTGTCCAAATGCACCGTGTCCAAGTGCACCGCTCCCGTCCGCTAGCTCCTTCCGCTACTCCGTGCTGCTCGTGCCTCACCTACAGGCAACAGTGTGTGAGTGACGCGTCATGTGTGCGAGTTACACGGATATACGAACGGCATTAACGCCGGTACGTGTATGTGTGTATTAAGGGGCGTCTATATTGGAAATAAGTAGTAAAAAGTAGGAAGTAAGAGTAAGAAATTGACAAACCACAGATGAATGTGAGAAGAATAATCAACTATGATTGGTCAATTTCTTATTCTTACTTCCTATTTCTTATTGCTTACTTCCAATATAGACGCCCCTTAAAGCGTCGTCTACAATATGCGGAGTAAGCTTGGAATAAGAAATAAGCCGTAAGAATTAACCAATCATAGATGATTATTTTTATAATAATCGACTACGATTAGCCAGTTCTTACGGCTTACTTCTTACTCCAAACTTACTCCGCATATTGTAAACGACGCTTAAGATCCGATCTACAATAGATGGAGTAAGGAATAGGAGTAGGAGTAAGAAATAAGCAGTAAGTAAACAGACCAATCACAATCGATTATTTTTGAAACGTGAGAATGGAATTGGTCAATTTGCTTACTGCTTATTTCTTACTCCTACTCTTTACTCCATTTATTGTAGATTGGGCCTTATGGCACTACGAAGTGGTTTATTATTAGTCAGTCAGCGAGACCTATGCCGCGTCATCGGGTCGTATGTGTGTGTAAAGGGACGTCTACATTGGAAGTAAGTAGGAAGTAAGAGTAAGAAATTGACCAACCATAGTCTAATGTGAGAAGAATAATCAACTATGATTGGTTAATTTCTTATTCTTACTTCCTACTTCTTACTGCTTACTTCCAATGTAGACGTCCCTTAAGTATTAGTTTCTTTGTTTGTAGCTGAACTGGTGCACACTGAAGAAAATAATGAATAAATTAGATAAATTAGAGTCAGACAGAATATACATGCCTTACTTTATTTGTATGTTAACCATCCGATAGACAACGCGGCAGCCACACGCGGACTGATCTAAATTAAAATTTCATATTTATAATAACTCATTACTTCTTGAATAACAATAACAGTAATCATAATGTTAATAATGAATTTTCCAGCAAATAATGAGTAATTAATGTACTTTTCAGATTAGACATTATTTTTTGTCTACAACAATTTAAAGACTTTAATATTTTCAAATATAACTGCAACAGTAACAGAATTAACATTTCTTAGATAATAATAACGAATACAATTAAACTTTTATGATTATTTGTAAATGCATATAGAATATATATACCGTTTTGTGTATGCGTGCGTGCGTGCGCGCGCGTGCACCGTATATTGTGTATATATATATATATATATATATATATATATATATATATATATGTACTGTTTTTTTTTTCGTTGATCTTATGTATATGTATTTTATGTATTTTATGTATTCACAAAAACCATATAAGTTTCATTATATTTGTTACTATTACTCTCAAGAAATGTAATTCTGCTACTATTACAGTTACATTTTCAAAAAATTAAAATTCTTAAATACCTAGTAAACACAAAGTATCATCGATGTTACAATGTCAGCTCAATCATATGGTATATTACGTAACTACTACTTTGTTATATAACAAAGTAATATTATATAATATACCATATAATTGAGCTGATATTGTATTATTTGAAAATTACCATTTACCAGTTACAATTTACCAGTTACTATTATCAATTGAAGAGCTATTTATTATAGTTATTATTATTTGAGAAATAATGAATTATTATGTTTTCTTAACTTAATATATTTTATAATTATTTGAAAATCACCATTTACCAGTTGCCATTATTAATTGAAGAGCTATTTATTACTGTTATTATTATGATATTCTCGCGCTTACTCGGCGTTTCGAAGCAACTGAGCGCTCGCATCGTACGTATAAGCCAAGTATCTATAGAAGAAATACAGTAGTATTTCCTGTTAAATTGATACGTAAGTCTCGTAAAATTATAAGTATTTATGAAAATTATTTATATTTATGAATTGTTTATGAACTTATGTCACATGTGTTTAATAGATGTTCAATCATTTATGAAAAAGATATAATATCCGAACAAACCTACTTTTAAAAAAAAAAGTTGAAAAGACACTAAGTTTATGCGCTTGCTTGCACGAGTGGAATTATGGAATAATAAGAAATATTGTTGTTTAAACTTCTATTTTTTATAATACAAAAAACGTCATATCGGATAGTTAGGCCAAGTGAAAATAATTCACGTGTTTACCTACATAAATAGAATTATATAAAAGCAAATATGTTCATATATGAAATATTTCACATACATATTTTCAGAGAACATAAACCTAAAGACATTAAAATGTAATATTATTTCAATTTCTATTTTCTAAAAAGAATGTTAAAAGATAATTAGATCAAACGAAAATACCATTGCGTATATAACAGTTTTGTGTATATTCATCATTGCTAATGTATATATTCACACCACATGTGATAATTATTGACTTCTTTTTATTGGTAACCATGTAAAAATTAAGATAAAATAAAATTAAGAGTTACACAAAAACACTTGGCGTCACCGGGTATATAAATAATTTAAATATATTTTTCAAATAGTATTTTGTATATCAATTTGTAAAATTCAATGTACCTTATTGCGACACGGGCACGCTAAGTGTTTTTTGTATGACTCTTAATTTAATTTTATCTTAATTTTTATATGGTTTTTATATGGTTAATAAAAAGAAGTCAATAGTTACCACATGTGGTGTGAATATACACTAAGCTGTTATATACGCTGTTATATATACAAAGCTGTTATATACAATGGTATTTTCGTTTGATCTAATTATCTTTTAACATTCCTTTTAGAAAATAGAAATTTAAATAATATTATATTTTAACGTCTTTAGATTTATGTTCTCTGAAAATATGTATGTGAAATATTTTATATATGAACATATTTGCTTTTATATAATTCTACTCGTGTAGGGAAACACATGAGTTATTTTCATTTGGCTTAATTACCTGATATCCCGTTTTTTTTTGTAAAAAAAATAGAAGTTTAAACTTATTTCTTATTAACATTTTTAAATGTGTTATTTAACAAATAAAATATTTTTTATAGAAATATTAATTTTTGCATAATTCCATAAGCAAGCAAGCGCGTGAACTTGGCGTTTTTTTCACCCTTTTTTTTTAAAGTAAGTTTGTTCGGATTCATCATATAAGATCTGGTAGGATCAGTTTTTTTTTCAGTCTTTGTAGAAATCTGTATCACGTACCGTCTGCCGTTGTAAAAAAATCATCAATAGATTCATGCCATCTTAAGCAATGACAATGGCTGCATTCAGCGAAAAAAGCAGCTCAGTAATTATTGTCTGTGATTATTGTTTGTGATTGGAGTATTCTTTTAGATTTTTCATAGACTCAGGAGTATTTATCAATCAGGAGTGATAGTCATTAAGCACTCGTTGAATTGCTTTTTTCGCTGAATGTACTTAATGGTTTTTTTTAGATGCTTACATGCTGTAAACGTTATTTTACCTTCCTTCCGTATGTAATGAACGATAAAGATAAAATATAATTAGAACGCGTGAGTACCCAAAACGTAGTATTTGTCTACAGAACTCGTCTTACTGTTTCTTGCACATTTATTCGCTAATATTTTTTAATTAATTCCTTAAGAACTATTACGAAATATGTAAAATGGTAAGGGACTTTTTTGTATAATTTAATAAATTCTACTTACATACGTGTGGATATACGCGTTGTGTCAGATTTTCTGTATGGATTATATTAATGAACAATTATAATTTATTATTCAAATCCTTTTTATTAAAAGCATTATAAAATTGATTGTATTTTGTTACGGAAAAAATAATACACACATATACGTGTGATTTTTTTAAAAATATATAATAAAATTATATCTTTTTATAGATGGACGATGTTATGGCCTTGACTGACATGTCACATCAAGACGTTACACCACGTATAGCAAATCTTGAAAAACGTAATAAAGATCTACAAGGTGGTACGTATATCATATTATTGCAACTAATGTACATACATATTTGATTTCTTACAATTGTAGGTCTCTAATACAACGCGTACTTCCGCTTGTTTGCGTATCTGTGAAGTACGACATTTAAAAAAATTAATAAAGGACATTGATAGAGAAAATTTTAACAGCACTTTTTATAATTCTGATAGAAACTAAAAAAAATTTCGCACTTTTAATATAAAAAAAATCAAAATTAGAAAAAATTTTTATCTTTACGTCCTAGCACAATACGTTATATTCTAAAATACAAGAAGATTGTAAATATTACATCGTCTGATAATAGTTGCAACTATTTTAATACAAGTCCTATAATAATCCTATAAACATTTTTGAGATTCCTACAACTTACAATTTTATATACATTTTTATTTTTGGGCTTAATACACTATGTGAAAAAAGTGTAGTGCTGTGAATTATTTGCAGTTCTAACGATCTTTTTGGGTTGTTTTATTGGAGTTTTATATTATGAAATTTTCAAGCGTTGTTTAGCCATACAAACGTTTCTAAAATATAATATTATCATTGTAGAAATAATGCTTGAAAATAACTTCACAGCATTAATTAATACAACACACATTTGCTAAGTGTCGTGCTGAAAGCAAAATTAATATATTGTTTTAGAAACATTTATACAACGGAACAATACAAAAATGGAACAATACGAAATTAACAGCACGACATACTTTTTACCGATTGTTATGCTGAAAGCAAAGTTGATAAATTGTTTTAAAAACGTTTATTACAAAACAACGCTTGAAAATAATCTCATAGTATTTTATTGATTTTATTCTAAACGGACATATTTTGGTGTCTGCTTATACTATAATTCTAAATTTAAAAACGATAACCGATTAAAAAGGATAAGATTAAAAACGAAATATTGCATGAATATTATCGGTAAGTTACTGATACTCAGTAAATATCGATTATTGTAATAGACAGATCAAGTCAATATTTTAAAATGTTGGTCTGATATTTTTTGTTTATTGGGAAATTATACTTATGAATGAAGAAATAACTAATTAGCAACTTAGCGATAATACTCACTTAATATTTCATTCGTGTAACCTTTGAGCATCGTATTTATATAACATTAATGTCACTAAAATACTCATATGAATTACAGTTATATTACATAATATGTTATGTAATTGTTATATTAATATTATATATTAAAATATCATATAATTATATTGCTGAAATATTATAATTGGAATGTAAATTATCCATTTCCCAGCAATCATAGATTGTCTGCTTTTTTTGCGAGTTTAGAAACATATCCATTTTATCCAATGAAAGAATCTATTTTTTTAATCTTTCCGTTTACGAATGTACTAGAAACCCTATGGTAAGAATCTGGCCATCTTGTGTCTCTGGCTGGAAAGCAACCTATATATACTAACTGTATTGACTGCGCCATGGCTTCATTACATGAATACCTGAAACTACAAGATGCGGGGGGCTGAGTCTGGCCATCAGAGGAATTCTGGCAACATTCTTCGAGAGAGAAAGATATATATTTCCTACAGGATTTCTAGGAAATATATATCTTCCTCTCTCGAAGAATTTTGCCAGAATTCCTCTGATGGCCAGACTCTTATTATAGGGTTTCTAGAATATACGAGAGATAGACATCTAATGGACGATGCGACATTTACATATACAAATGTTACATAACATATACGTAATACAAATACTACCTACACAATATTATTGTATTAAAGATATTGTTGTCTTAAAGATATTTTAAAAATGTTTTTAAAGTCTGATGTACAATATGCTCTTTGCGTTCTGTTTCTTATCTTTTTCTGGCTTAAACCTTAAGGTTTGAGTCAGAAAGAGATAAAGAGAAAGCAGGAAACAAAGAGCATATTGTAGATCAGACTTTAAGCCAGAAAAAGACAGAAGACAAGAAACAGAACACAAAGAGCATATTGTAGGTCAGACTTTAAAATTATCAGAAAAATATTTATCCGCTTGTCCACAACCTTACTTTAATTCTTAAGCCGTAAGAAATTGACTAACTACAGTTCATTATTTTTAAAATAATCGATTGTGGTTGGTCAATTTATTACGGCTTAAAGATTAAAGCAAGGTTGTGGACAAGGGGTTTATGATATTTTTAAGACCTATATTAATAATTATTACTTAAAATAAGATACACAGATTTTTTTCAAGTGAGATATTTATATTTAAATTCAATGTTGAAGATTTAGATTTAAATTCAATGAGAATTTTTCAGTTTAATCACGATTATAGATATAAATGTCACATAATTTAAGTGTAAATCTGAGATCTAATTTGAATAAAAATTTGAATATCTCATATGAGACAAGTTTCAAGTGACAACTATTAATACGGATGCCAACTATCAATATATTTTATGTTCTTTAAGATATCTTAAAAAGCCCTGTTTAATCTTCCACTGCCCTTGTTTGCAGACAAACAAGTGTTTTTGTATGAGCAAAACGCCACATCTTTTATTAATTAAATTTAAATGAAAATTTAATTATTACTGCATTAATACAACTTGATAAAACAAATAAATGATTTAAAACATAGATTTATTATCAATCCATTAAAATAAAGTTTAAATTTAGTAACAGCACAAGTCTTATTAACCTCAGAGTCTTGATTTAGGGTCTTAATTCCAGAGTATTAATAAAAATTATACTGGAAAAATTAAGAAAATGACCATATAAGTTTAATCTGAAAGGTTGTAAATAAAAAATAAGTTAGCAAGTTTCAAAGCCAACTATGTGAAGCTATTGTTATATAATTAAAAAATAAAATTTCAACTAAACACTCATACGAAAACAATATTTATTAATTCCTTCGACGACATTGACGCGATATGGCGCACATCGTTTATTTTCTAATTAATAAGCTTGATTTTCATAAAACTTGGTACCCTATGGTTTTTGGGGTTGCGGAATACGAAATTGACATCAAAATTTCAAAATTCAAAATGGCGGATCTAATGGCGGATGAAAATACTAAAAATGATCCGATTGTGTTGAAATTTGGTACTAAGAGGTTTTTGGCTGAATACGAATTTGACGTCAAAATTTAAAATGGCGGATTCAATATGGCGGATCATATATTTGAAAAATAACAATGGTCGATTTTATTAAAATGGGAACCTGAAATGTCTCCCTAATATTTATAACTTCAAAACTCTTATCCATTGTCAAGGTTCTTGAATTTTAATATATTTTATATGGTTTTATATGATTGGGTATCAGATTTCATAATAAATAAATTTTGATTTTTTGCTCGCCATATTGAGCCTATTATTTGAATATTTTAACCTCAAATTCGTATTTATTGATCCAAAACCCTTTAGATATCGGATTTTATAACAATCAGATTTTCATTTTTTTCATCGCTATATTGATCCGCAACTTTGAAATCGAATAGTTGAACATCAAATTCGTATTTAGTGAACCGAAAAATCCTTCGATATTGGATTTTATAAAAATCAGATTTTTATGTTTTTGCCTCTACTGGACTCGTCATTTTGAATTTTACAATTTTGACCTCAAAATCGTATTCAGCGACTCTAAAAACCTCTGTATACCAAGTTTTAAAAAAATTCTCCAACTTCTTTTTTCTGTCCACGGGGACACAAACGTGGAACTGAACGTGTCGTCGAATATAATAAAAGGGTTAATAAAAGTTATATTAACGAAATTAAGAAAACAACTATACAAATATGATCTTAAAGGTTGTAAATTGAAAGTCAGAAAGTTTCAAAGCCAACTTAATGTTAAGCCACCATTATATAATTATAAAGTAAAATTTCAACTAAGCGTTTGTCTCATACAAGGGCAATGGAGGGTTAATACTATTTTTACTTTATATACATGCAATTATAGATTTATAGGATTATACAAACATTAGAAAGGAAAATAAGTTTTATTTTTTATCGTTTATTGTGGCTTATTGTATTCAGTTGAGAATTACGATTAAACTCTGAATTTGCTTCGTACGCGCGCGCATACACACACACACACACACACATATGCATACACATACACACATATTTTTAATAAACTAGATGGTCCATAATCTAATAATTTTTTATATTACTTCTAGTTTTTAACCGTCTTTTTATTTTGCATTAAAAGTGTAAGAATAATTTGACCGCTAGAATCAAAAACATAATATCGGTATTCATTTCGTATATGCATGTAAATAGTGCCAACATTAATTATCTTAGCTTTGATACGGTTATTCTCTTTCCAATTTTATATGTGTGGATCGTCATTAATATATTCTTAAAATTCTGAAAGTTCCCTAAAAAAAATGGTTTTACGAACCAGTCATCTTAAAAAAGACACATGAGCTAAATTAATACTACAAGTTCTATCAAACTGCAATAATTTCCTCTGTCGTAACAATAAACAAACCTAAAAAAGAATTATATAATAATTATTTGAAAAATGTTTTCTTAAATAGTTGTACAAGATCTCGAGGCTGTACTGGATAAATTGGAGAAACGCGTGACAAGTCTCGAACAGCGCATCCCTTACATAGCGATTTGTCCTGCGAAACCCGAGAGTGTCGAAGAACAAATGCCAGAAAAGGATGAAGATGACGAAGATGTTGATTTGTTTGGTTCAGATTCAGAGGCAAGTGCAGAGTGGAGATAGTGGGAACAGTGCCGATTGGATTTCTCATGTACAGCGCGAATACCTAGGTTTAACATCGCATGATGCACAAGAACCGAACACTTGATACACATTAACATAAATCAATAAGTGTCACAAAACGCGTGAATTTATATATTTACGTAAAATATCATGATTTTTATAATTTAGTATATACACCAGATATTCCCATAATATACTGATTTATCCGCTGTAACATTTGGTCAAACTCATACAAATCTGATATACACAGCATAAATCTGGCATTCATGAATTGTTAATTCGTCTGTTTTAATTTGTCTTGATTCTTTCGATGAAAATTCTTATTTGGCTCAATAGGGAGATGATGCAGAGGCCGCTAAGATTAGGGAAGAACGACTCGCTGCGTATACTGCTAAGAAATCCAAAAGTACGTAACGCAAGAGGTGTGACGTTCGATAACAATTGCTCAATTTTTTAAATACATTATCACTGACTAATTCTTATCTTGTAGAACCAGCTTTAATAGCTAAATCGAACATTATCCTAGACGTGAAACCATGGGACGACGAGACGGACATGAAAGAAATGGAAAGCGAAGTGCGAAAAATCGAAACCGACGGTTTGCTTTGGGGTGCATGTAAGTTTTCATGATTGTCTCTTGACGTTTCACATATACGCACAAGTGATATATTAACGCATATCCCTTTTTCACAGCTAAACTGGTGCCACTCGCTTTCGGAATTCACAAGCTGCAGATTTCGTGTGTCGTAGAAGATGACAAAGTATCGGTCGATTGGTTAATAGAGAAAATACAAGAAATCGAAAATTACGTGCAAAGCGTCGATATCGCAGCTTTTAACAAAGTGTAAACAAACGAAGTGAGCTGTATCATAGAAAACGCACGTGGCAACGTAGTCAAAAATAATATAATTCGTGTGCCATTTTGCATTCCATTAGCTAATATCTGTAATCGTAAATAATGTGTGCATCTTATCCCTATTCAGAATCGAAAAGTAAAAATACTTAATATTCAACACAACAAACTTGAATGTAAACTAAAGAAGTTTTATTGTAAATTTTTATGGCATTAAGGTTCCTGATCTCTTGTTTATAATAATATCTGAACTCTTATTTAATAATATCAGAAATCTTGTTTAATAATCACAAGTGAGAAAAACACCAAAATTCCAAATGACCAAAATTCTTAAGTACTATTTTTTAATAAAAAGCTATTTGTATGAAACACTTCAGATTGCTTGAACATTCTTATATTCCGAAAACTATCCTTTTCCCTTGATGGTCAACAAATAACTAGAGAATAACAAATAGAATGAGAACTGTAGAACGCGATATGCAATCTCTTCTTTTAATTTACATTTTCTTATAACTTTGTCACGTTAATTTTACAACCATTTATTAATTGTTAAAGAGAGAAAAATAGTTTTTGAACTATTTTACAAATATGTTCAAGAGATCTAAAGTGTTTTTTTTTTTTAATTTTTTAAATATCTTTATATTTGAAAACGTAAGAATTTTTTTAGCGTATCATTTTATACCTCTAATGTCACGATCCAACATAATCGCGATTAGTACTCTGGAACCTTAAGTACCATGATTTAAGTTTTTATTTAAAGTAATTTAAATCTTACTTTTTCTCTAAATTATACATTCTTTATCAGATTTTATAGCGGATAGATAAAAATAAAACTCAAAATTTTAATTCGTCTAATTTGCTAGTTAACAAGTGCTGACCGGTCACAATATACTCGTCTTTTTATATCTGAACGTTGTTGACCGGCCATGAGTTAACTCATGTTTGCACTTACATTAGTTTATGCAGTTTTTAAGTCTGACAGCCACGGATTTTAACCATTTGACTGCGCGTCAAAAGGCGCACGCTTTACGCCAGAAAGAACTTGCTTTATTTTTTCGCTGGAAATGTATTATTGATCTTAAAAAGTCACTAATTTTATGTTTTGACATCAAGGAATCCGAATTTTATACCAAAATTAAAGAGTTTTTAATAAGAATGTGCCGGATATCCGATAACTATCCGGCCATCTTTTTACAATCCGACCAAATAGTCTGATTTCATTAATATTCGGCCAGATAACCGGATATTAATTTATTAGTATAGTTTGAAAGTTTGCGTCATTAATGCAGGATACGAAATCCAAAGTTCTCTAAGAACAAACTAATTATTTTTTATTAAATCAACTCTGTAATATACAATTTTTCTAAAGATTTATTTTCAGCAATGCTTGACAGTGCCGCCAGAGTGACCCGCTCTCTCAGCCAGCACAATACATGATATGCAACGCGCGATATTCAATAAGCGTACAGTTTTACCGGAATACCAGTATTCTGATTGGATATCGCTCGTCGCATGTTGCAGCGCGTATCGCGTGTTGCATCGCATATCGCGCTAGTCTGTTAGGCTAGTCTGTTCTATAATACGTTGTAAGCCAGAACCGGATATCGGGCGCATGCGCACTGAGCTGTCGCATATTGTATAAAGATGTCATAGCCGGTCGTTAAGCTGGTGGCACATAGAAAGACGTAAGCAGTAAGCGAATCAGCCAATCACAGTCGGTGATTCTTGGACCGTAAGAAGAATCAACGACTGTGATTGGTCAATTTGCTTACTGCTTAAGTTTTTCTGTGTACCACAGCCCTAAAGCTCATTCTACAATTGCGTGAACGTGGTTGTATGTGATTACGACAACCAATCAAAATAAAGCAATCAGTAAATAAAACATTCGGATTGGTTGACTCTTACGATCACGACTACGCTTACGCAATTGTAGAATGGACTTAAAGCGTCTTTTACAATGGCAGTAGGAGTAGTAGTAAGAAATAAGCAGTAAGTAAATAGACCAATCACAATCGATTATTTTTGAAACGTAAGAATGGAATTGGTCAATTTACTTACTGCTTATTTCTTACTACTACTCCTACTGTTATTGTAAAAGACGCTTAAGGGCTGTGGCACACAGAAAAACTTAAGCAGTAAGCAAATTGATTAATCACAGTCGTTGATACTTCTTATGGTCCAAGAATCAACGACTGTGATTGGCTGATTCGCTTACTGCTTACGTCTTACTGCTTAAGTTTTTCTATGTGCCACCAGCTTAAGTTAGCCACACACACTTTTCGTAACAGTAATCATAAGACATAACATAAGAATTGACCAATTACGATCGAGTATTCATCAAAATGGCGATCTTACGTTTCGACGATTCTCAACATGATTGGTCAATTCTTATGTTACGTCTTACGGTTACTGTTACGAAAGTGTGTGTGCTTTATGGCTTCTGCACATAGGACGCGGTAATGCTTGCTGCGCGGCGAAAATATGCGCGACAGCCAATCAATATGTTGTTTTTCCGTAAGAGCTAGAAGGTTATTACGGAAAGCGGCATGTTGATTGGCTGTCGCGCGAACTTCTGCCGCGCGGCAAGCATTACCGCGTCGTGTGTGCAGGAGCCATTAGTGTCGGAAAGAAAGATGGTCAACTCCCATCTTTTCCATTCCGTACGATTACGATTGGCTGCAACATAACCTACATTACTGATATTATTACATATCTCATTATGGATTCATTGAGTGTGGATGAGATAATTATTGATTTTGTACGGAAAAATAATTGTTTGTATGCCCAGATAGCACAGCGATGAACAGAAGTTCCTCGAGAATTCATTTTAAAAAATACACAGAATTAGAAAAATGAATATCTGAAGAATTCGTGAACAAATAACCATAATAAGTTTGTCTTGAAGTATTCCTCAGAAGTTCATTGTAAAGGCCATCACACACAAAATTCCGTAAGAACTTAAAACGTAAGCGTAAAGAAATCGACCAATCCCAATCGAGCACTCGGTTCTTCGTAACCCCTCCATTATTACGAAGAGCCAATACTCGATTGGGATTGGTCGATTTCCTTACGTTTACGATTTAAGTTCTTACGGAATTTTGTGTGTGATGGCCTTAACGGATACTTTGTGACTTAATTCTTAGAACATTCTGAGAATTCGTGAGGAATTACAAGTGTTTTGTTTGTTACAATTATTTCTTGTGGCTGTATGCAGCAGATGCACATATCATTTTCAGTGCTTTGTGTGTATATTGTTATAATTGGGACGTTCCTTGCAAATAAATGTTATGATAAAAAGAAAAATGATGGGTACTTTCCAATTGCAATATCCCTAAACACTTTCATGCACACGGCCACACAAGTTGCATTCCAATTATCGTAATCGTTGACACAACATTACACATCCTCAACTTGAGGGCTACTAGTCGGCTGTACAAACTAGTGTTTTCTAGTGAAAATTAAAGTTAATAAACGTAGCGGCTTGAAAAGAGACTAGCATTTGCGACGTGAAGTGGATAATATCTCTTTTATTACTTAGATTTTATTATTTATTATTAAAAGAAAACTAAAATATAAGCATAGTTGAAAAATAATCCTAACCTTACCCGACAAACATACACACTAGTACACACTTTGTCCCAATTGAATCGTACACAACGTTAGGGCTATCGCACACAAATTGACATAACTGCATATGCATAGCATAAGACCGTATGTACCAATGAGCATCGAGTATTAAGTCGCCATATTGGTGTTCGATGCTTAATATTCAATGCTCATTGGTCCATACGATTTTATGCTATGCATATGTAGTTATGTCAATTTGTGTGCGATAGCCCTTA